CGGGGTGGGCTCCACCCGACCAGCTCGGTCCACCAGCTGGGCTTCACGCAGCCCCACTCGGCCCAGTTCAGCTCACCAGGACACTAAAGAAGAATTGAAAAAATTCATGGAAACAAGTGATAATGAAAACACCACTGTTCAAGATCGGTGGGACACAGCAAAGGCAGTCCTCAGAGGAAAATACATAGTGATACAAGCCTTTCTCAAGAAACAAGAAAGGTCTCAAATACACAACCTAACCCTACACCTAAGGAGCTGGAGAAAGAATGGCAAAGAAAGGCTAAGCCCAGAAGGAGAAGAGAAATCATAAATATCAGAGCAGAAATCAATGAAATAGAAACAAAAAGAACAGTAGAACAAATCGATGAAACTAGGAGCTGGTTCTTTGAAAGAATTAATAAAATTGATAACCCCCTGGCCAGACTTATCAAAAAGAAAGGAGCAAGGACCCAAATAAATAAAATCATGAGTGAAAGAGGAGAGATCACAACCAACACCAAAGAAATACAAACAATTATAGAACAAATTTGACAGTCTGGAAGAAATGGTCGCATTCCTAGAGACAGAGACATAGAAACTACCACAACGGAACCAGGAAGAAATAGACAACCTGAACAGACCCATAACCAGTAAGGAGACTGAAGCAGTCTTCGAAAACCTCCCAACAAGAGCCCGGGGCCAGACGGCTTCCCTGGGGAATTCTACCAAACATTTAAAGAAGAATTAATTCCTATTCTCCTGAAAGGGTTCCAAAACATAGAAATGGAAGGAAAACTGCCAAACTCATTTCATGAGGTCAGCATTACCTTGATCCCCAAAAGCAGACGAAGATTTCAGACCAATATCCTCGATGAACACAGATGTGAACATTCTCACCAAAATACTAGCCAATAGGATCCAACAGTGCCTTAAAAAGATTATTCACCATGACCAAATGGGATTGATTCCAAGGCTGCAAGTTTGGTTCCACATCCACAAATCAAGCGATGTGATACAATGCATTAATAAAAGAAAGAGCAAGAACCATATGATACTCTCGATAGATACTGAAAAAGCATTTGACAAAGTACAGCATCCTTTCTTGATCAAAACACTCTTCAAAGTGCAGGGATAGAGGGCACATACCTCAATATCATCAAAGCCACCTATGAAAAAGCCACAGCCAATATCATTCTCAATGGAGAAAAACTGAGAGCTTTTCGGCTAAGGTCAGGAACACGGCAGGGTTGCCCACTATCACCACTGCTATTCAACATAGTACTAGAAGTCCTAGCCTCAGCAATCAGACAACACAAAGACAGTAAAGGCACCCAAATCAGCAAAGAAGAAGTCAAACTATCGCTCTTTGCAGATGATAAGACATTTTATGCAGAAAACCCAATAAACTCCACTCCACAAATCTGCTAGAACTTGTACAGGAATTCAGTAAAGTGTCCGGGTATAAAATCGATGCACAGAAATCAGTTGCATTTCTATACACCAAAAGCAAGACAGAGGGAAGAGAAATTAAGGAGTCAATCCCATTTACAACTGCACCCCAAACCATAACATACCTAGGAATAAACCTAACCAAAGAGACAAAGAATCTCAGAGAACGATAGAGTACTCATGAAGGAAATTGAAGGAGACACAAAGAAATGGAAAAATGTTCCATGCTCATGGATTGGAAGAACAACTATGGTGAAAATGTCTATGCTACCTAAGGCAATCTACACGTTTAATGCAATCCCTATCAAACTAACATCCTTTCCCCCCACAAAGATATGGAACAAATAATCCTAAAATTTATATGAAACCAGAGAAGACCTCGAAGAGCCAGAGGAATGTTGAAAAAGAAAGCCAAATTTGGTGGCATCACAATTCCAGACTTCAAGCTCTATTACAAAGCTGTCATCATCAAGACAGTATGGTATTGGCACAAAAACCAACACATAGATCAATGGAGCAGAATAGAGATCTCAGAAATAGACCCTCAACTCTATGGTCAACTAATCTTTGACAAAGCAGGAAAGAATGTCCAAAAGAAAAAATGACAGTCTCTTCAACAAACGGTGTTGGGCAAATTGGACAGCCACATGCAGAAAAATCAAACTCAACCATTTCCTTACACCACACACAAAAATAGACTCCAAATGGACGAAAGACCTCAATGTGAAAAGGGGATCCACTACGATCCTTGAGAACACAGACAGCAATCTCTTTGACCTCAGAGGCAGCAACTTCTTCCTAGAAACATCACCAAAGACAAGGGAAGCAAGGGCAAAAATGAACTATTAGGACTTCATCAAGATCAAAAGCCTTTGCACAGCAAAGGAGACAGTCAACAAAATCAAAAAACAATGGACAGAATGGGAGAAGATATTTGCAAACGACATATCAGATGAAGGACCAGTACCCAAAATCTATGAAAAACTTATCAAACTCAACACCCAAAGAACAAATAATCCAATCAAGAAATGCGCAGAGGAAGTGAACAGACATTTCTGCAAAGAAGACATCCAGATGGCCAACAGACACGAAAAAAGTGCTCCCCCTCACTCGGCATCAGGAAAATACAAATCAAAACCACAATAAGATCCCACGTCACACCAATCAGAATGGCTAAAATTAACAAGTCAGGAAATGACAGATGCTGTTGAGGATGTGGAGAAAGGGGAACCCTCCTCCAGTGTTGGTGGGAATGCAAGCTGGTGCAACCACTCTGGAAAACAGCATGGAGGTTCCTCAAAAAGTTGAAAACAGAGCTACCGTATGACCTAGCAATTGCACTGCTGGGTATTTCCCCTAAAGATACAAATGTAGTGATCTGAAGGGGCACTTGCACCCAAATGTTTATAGCAGCAATGTCCACAATAACAAAACTATGGAAAGAACCTAGATGTCCATCAAGAGATGAATAGATAAAGAAGACGTGGCATACAGTATTCCATTGTGTATATATACATATATATGTGTGTGTGTGTATATATACAAATATATACATACAATGGAATACTATGCAGTCATCAAAGAAAATAAAATCTTGCCCTGTGCAATGATGTAGATGGAACTAGAGGGTATTATTCTGAGCGAAATAAGTCAATCAGAGAAAGACAATTATCATATGATCTCTCTGATATGAGGAATTTGAGAGGCAATGTGTGGGGCTTGGGGGGTAGGGAAGGAAAAAATGAAACAAGATGAGATCAGGTGGTAGACAAACCATAAGAGACTCTTAATCTCACAAAATAAACTGAGTGTTGCTGGGGGGAGTGGGGTAGGGACAGGATGGTTGGGTTATGGACATTGGGGAGGGTATGTGCTATGGTGAGTGCTGTGAAGTATGCAAGCCTGACAATTCACAGAACTGTACCCCTGGGCCTATAATACATTATATGTTAATAAAAAATAAAAAACTAAAAAAAATTAAAATTTAGGTAACTTGAAAAAAATATATAAAGACTATGAATAGTTTTGAGATAATTCTCAGTGTGCTCTCCCAAAGTTAGTATTAATTTATAACTTCACAAATATTGCATGAGTACCTGTTTTAATATTGAGAATTGAGAATATAGATTATAAATAGTACTTCATTGTGGTTCTATTGCATATTTCTCTATCAATGAGTTTTTTATTTTTATGTATTTTTGAAATTAATTTTTTTCAATCCATAATTGTCTATTCATGTTCTTCTTTATTAGAGTAATAATGATTTTTAGAGCCTTTTATTATGTCTTAAGGATAGTTACCTCTTGTCAAAATTATTTTTACCCAACTAAGTATTTATTTTTATGTTATGTCTTGTGCTTGTTTTTTATGATGGACAGAAATTTTAATTTTAGAATTGTACTTTATTACATCATTTCTTCCTTTGTGATCTCTTTTACTGCCTTTCTCTTAGAAAATTCCTTTTTACCTTCTTACCATTTAAAAAGACACATATGTTTTTATCTAGTATTTTAGAGTTTCATTGTTTACACTAAAATATTTAATAAACCCTTTAGTATGGTGTAAGTTACTTGCTTATTTGTTCTTTGATAGGTACAGTTCCAAAAGTCTTTCCAGAATAAATCATCCATCTCTTTTGCATTTGTTTATGATGCTTCTTCACAATATACCTATTTCTTCTGTGTGCTAAATTTTAAAAGTAAAATACGGAGCTGATTTATACTCGAATTTCACGAAAGAAAATGAATTTAATTGAAATAAAAGCAGCTAACTTTACTCATTGTTTTGTTACTGTATTGGATATTACTTCCTACAAGACCCCCTAAGATTATAAAAAACATTAAGAAATTGGAGGTCATGTATTTGTTTAAATTACATGTTTCACTCTCAGCTCTGTTTTTCCCTGCTGTGAAGGATAAGAAAAGTTAAGTCCCTCACACTCTCTTCCCTGCCCACACCCAACACTCTGCCACAGGGTTATTGTTTTTATAATGCCAAGGTCTGTGATAATCACATTTACTCTGCCACCTCCCTTCCCTTGGATGTTTAGACCTAGTTCTGGGTTTATTTGGAAGCACTGCTTACCTCTGGTCCTGTTACTTTGCCTTTTCTTTGAGTTCCCTGTCTAAATTTATCTCTGTGCAAAACTTTTATTTCTCATAGCAGCACTGGGAAGCTTGTAAGTGTGAAATCAGGCTTGTTCAAAGACACTTTGCCCATGGCAAATCAGTGCAGGAGTTGAAGATTCTCATCTATACTCACCAGACTGCAGAGACCATGCTCAGGAGAGCAATGGGAGCCATGAGCTTTTAGTCTTGAGCTGGGGGGAGGGGGTGCGAGGGGGGGGGCGGGGAGTACAGTACTCTCTCTTCTGGAATCTTCTAGGGAGGCCAGAGGAGCCTGGATAGGATTGCAGCTAACTCTGATCTGGCGGATGAGATTTGGGGCTAGGCAGCCTTTCTGTGGTGCCTCTGAAAGGGCTGAGGAGGGAATTAATGAAATAGGTTGCTGGTCGTCATGGCATAGATTTATCTGGAGTCTGACAACTATGGACAGAAAGTAGAACAGTGAGTGTGCTCGCTCTGGGGGCACATATACAAAGATTTGAATGGTACAGAAATTAACATGCCCCCTGTGCAAGGGTGATACACAAATCTGTGAAGCATTCCATATTAAAAGGGGAAAAAAGACAGTAGAACAGTGAGGAAGCCCAAAGCGTCTGTTTCCCTTCAAAAGTCCCCAACCAGAAACCTAAACAAAAAAAGATCTATTTTCGTTTCACTTGGGGGAAAAATGAAATCCCAGAGGGTCAGTCTGGCCTACAATGGCAGCTCATTCATGCTGCAAACCCCAGAGTCCTTCTTGGTTTCCATTCTGCCCTTCTCAAGATGGCAGCCAGAGGACTACCAAGGAGAAACTCAAGGGACTAAGAACTTGTGACTTCCACCTACATCTCTGGCCACAGCAGAGTCCTGGCCACTCCTAACAGCCTCAAATGCTGGGATATATCATTTTGTGAATCTGTCAAAAGACAAGAGCTCTGTCTCATGATAATCTCATGTTTCTTCATTGCTTTTCAAGTTATGGTAGTAACCGCTACACTTGCTCATTTACAGATATTTGTAGGAAGTTCCAAATGTGGGTCAGGCACAGCACTCACTGTCGTGGGCATGGTGGTGAAGTGACAAGGGTCTGTTCACATGCATCACTTGGGGTGGTCACTATGTGCAAAACTTTTATTTCTCATAGTAGCACTGGGAAGTTAAGTACTATTATCCCCATCTTGTGGACAAGTAAACAGAGGCTGTGAGAAGTTAATAATCAATTCAAGAGTCCATAATTATATAACAGAGTCAGAATCTGAACCTATGTTGGTCTCCTCCAAAGATTCGGCTCTTAATAATTTTTCTACACTAGTGCTTTCCATTCCTGGCACATCCAGTGCCTGGGACCTAGCCCTCAGATTCTGATTTAATTGGTTGAGGGGGAAGCCCAGGTATCAGTAAGCTTGTATTATCTTATCAGTAAGCTTGTATTAACAACTGGAGATGGAGGTATTTTTCTCTCTATTTAAAATTAGGTAAACTACGATCCAGAGAGGTAGACTCACGTGCCCAAGGTCACACAGCAAGTCCACAGTGAAGCTGGGATGTGTGTCCACAACTCTACCATCTCCGAAAGGCTGTCCTTGGCTCCAGAAAAAGGTGGCTTCTATTAAGTTGTGGGGTACACTGGCCAAACCCTCTGCTCCAGCCAGCCCAGAAGCCTCCCTGGGAATGTGTGTGCCTGAGGGGCAGGGCATCATGTGGAAGCTGGGTGATAATCAGGCCGGGTTATGCCAGGATGTGCGGTGGAAGCCCAGCCTGCTGAAGGCAGGGGTGTGTCTGGGCCAGGGTGGGGGCCGGACACGGGGATGCACTTTTTTCCCAGCATAACAAGCTGTGGGCTTCCTCCTCCCTTGCTGAGCCCTGCCTGATATGTCCGACCTCGAACAGGTCACTAACCAGGGACTGGAGGGCTGGCAGGCAGGCAGGGGCTAGGGCCAATCCCCAGAGGAAGTCACATGGCAGGGGTCACAGGACTGACCCAGGAATGGTGAAGGGAGGGAGATATTTCAAGCTTGAGAGGAAGGGCCCCGCCCACGAATGAATCACCCGGGACAGATTATCCTGAGGAAGACCTTGGGGTGGAATTGTGATAAGCACCATCCTCCCAAGGTGACCAGGAGCCTGCGGTCAGCTGGCCAGTGATCAGCCAGGCCACGTGGGATGGGAGCACTCAGATGTATCTAAGAAGCCCATGATGCATTGTCGAAGTGACTTCTCAGAGACCTTACACATAAGAATGAGCATCTCCGCTTTTCAGGATGAGAAAACGAAGTTCTGGAGCTAAGTCACTCACTCAAGGTCACATGGCTGAGGTGGGGTTTGAAATGGGAGCCTGGCTTTCTCTTGTGGCCCTCTGGCTTCCCCAAAGCAGGAAGCTGAGACCACAATAGCCCTCCCTCTCCACTTGCTCCCTGTGAGGACCCACAGTTTCACAGACAAAATGACCAGGTTCTACTCGTTAATGGCAAGCCTGACCTCAGGTCTCATGCTTGCTTCTGGATGAGGCACTAGACTCGTCCAAACTCCTCAAGGTATGAATGGGAACGATGGATCTCAAGAGAGGGCAAAGGACTTACCCAGAATTCCAGGGTAAGACAGAGGCCTACTCTGATTCCTGCCTCCCAGCCCATGGGTCTGTGCACTGCACTAGTATTTGGATCCTCAACAGCCTCCGCTCCAATGAAGCCAGACATGGCTGGTACCCAGGGAGCTGCTTAGAAGCAGAAAAGCGACTCCCACCACTGCCAGGAAGTCCTGCTTGATCTGGAGGGGACCTGGGCATCTGTATTTGTAACCAAGTCATTCTGATAGATTAAGAAGTTTGAGAAACACTAGCATAGATGATCTTTAAGATTCTTTCTGGTCCTGAAGGCTGGGTTCTGGTATATGTTATTACCATTAACATCACCATCATCATCATCAAATACCAACATATGTTGAGTGTGTAATATATACGAGACACTCTTCTAGATGCTTTACATATATGACTCTGTGTAACTCAGAGGTAGCATTATTATCATCCCCATTTTACAGAGGAGGAAACTGAGGCTGAGGGAGGTTAATCATTTTCCTAAGATAGCACAGCCAATGGCTGAGCCAGGACTCAAGGCTGGGTCTTCTGCTCCGGTGGCCTCAGCAGCCTTTCATATGTGAATTTCCCCCAAGCTGGCCATGTTTTGGGACCCTCTAGTACCTGCTTTAGGGTTCAGTCTCCCCATTTATGGGATGGACAGTCTCCTTGCACCCTTCACGCCCTGCCCCAAATTTGCAAACAGCCCTTTGTGTTTGCTGCCCAGCCGGGCAGTTAACAGGACTTTGGCATCAAGAGGAGTGAGATGCAGCTTTTCCAGCCCTGATGCCCATGTTCCAACTCCTCCCAGTCAGGATGCTTTGGCCCTAATCATCCTGGCCCTGCTGTATTGCACACTGAATCACTGACCTGGAGTAAGCAGAAACTCATGCGTAGCAGTGGGAGGGCTGGAATGGAGATGAAACCAGTGGAGAGCACCCCCACCTGTTGTTGGCAGGGGTGGGGAAATGCAGGAGGAAGACAGATAGGGAACTGATAGTTAATTTTTATGAAGCACTCACTGTGGGCCAGACAGCTTGTTGCCAGACAAGCACCTGAACCTCTCAACACCTCAGTGTTGTCTTCTGGAAAATGAGGTGGTGATGAGGAGTCAATGAGACCCATTCTATGACTCAGTTATCCAACTCTCATCCACTGAAGGCTGACTCTATGTGGCAGCTGTCCTTCTAGGAAATGCAGCAGCAAGGCGACAAGTATCCGTCCCTCACAGGGCTAACAGCGCAGCCGGGAAAACAGACTTATAAAAATAAGTCAACAAAGAAACACATCGTGTAAAGTGGGACCAAGTAGCAACAAATGCTAGGAAGTGAAAGAAAGCCAGGGTAAGGTGTGTGTAGAGTGCCGTGAAGAGACAGGATGGATGGTCAGGGACTGCTTGAATAACGTAAGGAAGCATTGATAAAACTACCTGGGAGGATTGTTTTCAGGGAGAAAAGCGATAAAGAGTCCATCTGGGAGCCTGGCACACAGTAGGTGCTCAATAAATGTTGAATGCCATCATAGTTCAGAAGGAGGGACCATTTCCTTATTTTACTAGGTGGGAGGTCTCCATGTTGCTGCTGCTTCTTAGCTGTAGAAGGCTAGGGAACCTGCAGTCTCCCCCTTCTCATCCCACTTGCCTCCACCCCAGGACAGAGGGCTGGAGGTCAACAGCACCAAGCAGGAGGGGGAGGAAGAGCTTCTGTGGAAAGGCTGCACAACACCAACCAGCCTGACACATAGTAGGAGCTTTCCTGAGTGGAGACTGCGGTGCCGGTCACACAGGCTTGACGCTGTACAGCCACAAGATAAGAGAGGCTCCCTCTCTTGTGAAAACCTCCACAGGACTGGGTCACTGCTCTGCTCAGATACAGGGGATATTGGCGGCTTCCCACACTTACAGAATGAAGTCTACAGGCTCTCAATTCCTCTCTCAATTCCTGATCAGCTTTAGCAGCCTTCTTTCCAGCTCCTCCCCATCTCCTCCCAACTCGTGGCTCTCTACAGGCTGGATACCCTGAGTCCTGTGAACATCACCTGAGCATGACATCTGTGAACCCTCTTCTGGAAGTTCTCATGTGAGGTCAGGGAAGCCAACCAGCACAAGTTGTATCAAGGTAATAAGTGAGCTGGCTTCTGTGACAGGAGCCAGCATGGGGCCCCATGGAGATTAATATCCTTGGTGGAGGAAGTCTTCCAGGGATGGCTTCTGGAGGAGGGGAACTGCATCTCGAAGTGTGTTTTTTGTCATGCAGTTCTCAGTGGAGAGGTCTTTTCTGGGCACACTGGCTGAGGGACCCCACCAAGCCACTCTTTTTCATGTTCCTTATTAAGACTGCCCTGTGATGGTGAGTGGACCACGGACTGGCCCTTGACCTCTTGGAGATCCCCCTTCAGCATGAGGAGGCAGACAAGAAGGAGATAGGGCACAGGAAGAAAAGCAGGGTCCCCGCAGTAGCCAGTGCTGTGAAGGGAATAGATGGGGGAAGGGAGAGAAGGTGGCTGGAGGTGAGGCTACTTTAGGCTGAGTGGCCTGGGAAGGTGTCTCGGAGGGGTGACATTTCAGGGACTTTCTCAAAGCCACACAGGGTCGTGACAAAGTGGAGAGGAGAACCTCATTCTCTTGGCTTCTGTAGAAGAGCTTCTGCTTCATGTCCCGTGGTCCCAGAGCTCCCCTCTGCTGAAAAACCCACACTTTTCCAACAACCTTCCCCAGACACCCATCACCAGGGACCTGGCTCGTGGGAATCTCTGCTCCACCCAGTCACTCCCAGCAGCTCTAAATACTTAAATTACAGAAACTTTCTCTCTGGCTTGTGTTGCTAAAGTTTTCTTATAAGCACAAATGAAGAAACAAAAGAAGCAAACACACATGGGAAGATTCTATGACCCGAACCCCATGAATCCGACGACAAAGACTGTCTTAAACACCGACATCCTATCCTGATTGGTGGTGGCGCCAAGAGGTGGCTGGGATCCTTCCATTCATTTAATGCTATA